CAAAACAAAAAAAAAAAAAAAAAAAAAAGACACTTTCTTCATTAAACTGGGATCCTAAATGGCTACACTGTCAGCTTAAGGATGAAACAGAAAGTCCTTCCAAAGGACTGCAAGTAAAACTGTCTGTCTTGAACTTGGATGTGGGGAGGGAAAAGAATCACCTCTGAGGAATCATAACCACCAGCCATCCCTCATGCGAGTTCGCAACCCAAATTCACACTTTCTGGGTGGTCCAAAAAACTTCAAGCCAAGAATTAAGTTTAAGGTGACCATGGCTTCTGAGTGCCCCCTGGCACCTTATAGAAGCAAATGTAGATCCTCTATGGAGGAACCTTTATGTCAGGCCTCAAGGAATCACCAGAGAGAGTTACTAAGAAAAGCAGCCATTGTCATAAATCACTAAACACACAAAGGAAACAAAGCATCATACAAAAGAACCAGCAGAAACAATAGATAGCAGAAAAAGACTCACAAAGACTTTAGATACCAGAAGTATAAGACACATAATACAAAATATGTAAGCTGAATATAATTTTAAAATAAAAGAAGGGATTGAAACTATTGTAAAAACAAAATACTATAAAATTGATCAAGCAGGTTTAGAAAAGAACCAAATAGAACTTCTAGAAATAAAAGGTATAACAACTGAAATTTTAAAATTTAGTGGACAGATTTAATAGCAGGTAGACATACTGGAAAAGAGAAAGTAGTAAGTTGGAAGACAGAAAAAGGAAAATATGCAGAATGCAGCACAAAGAAAAAAAAGAGATGGAAAATGTAAAAGAAAAGAGACACAAGAACAAATTAAAAACATCTAGGGGCCTGCCTGGCGGCATAGCAGTTAAGTGCGTGTGCTCTGCTGCAGCGGCCTGGGGTTCACCGGTTCGGATCCCGGGCGCGCACGGACACACCGCTTGTCAAGCCATGCTGTGGTGGCGTCCCACATAAAGTAGAGGAAGATGGGCACAGATGTTAGCCCAGGGCCAATCTTCCTCAGCAAAAAGAAGAGGATTGGCATCAGATGTTAGCTCAGGGCCTATCTTCCTCACAAAAAAAAAAAAATTCAATCAATTCAAGGAGTAAGCCTGGTGGCACAGCAGTTAAGTTCACACATTCCACTTCAGCAGCCCAGGGTTTACCGGTTCAGATCCTGGGCGCAGACCTACTCACTGCTCATCAAGCCATGCTGAGGCAGAGTCCCACAAAGAAGAACTAGAAGGACCTACAACTAGGATATACAACTATGTACTGGGGGCTTTGGGGAGAGAAAAGAAAAAAAGAGGAAGATTGGCAACAGATGTTAGCTCAGGGCCAATCTTCCTCAAAAAAAAATTTCAATCAATTCAAAAGAGAAAAAAGAAGTAGGAAAAAAATGGGACAAATAAAAAGCACAAAATAAGATGGTAGAAATAAATCTAAATATATCAATATTTAAATAAGTGTAGATGAATGAAATGTTCTAGTTTAAAAATGGATTATTTTTTATATCTAGCTATATGCTATTTACAAGAGAGTCTATAACATATGGGAATATAGAAAGATTAAAAGCATAAGGATGGAAAAAGGCTCTTTAAGGATCATAAAATAAGAGGGAGGTAGCGAGTCTTTGTAACTGAAGGGATAATAACATACCGCAATGAGAGAAGGACCAAAAGAAAAGCAGATTTCGTGACAAGAAGAGAGCAAAATAGTCCTCCTTTAGATCTGGTGAATTTGAGGCACCAGCAGAATTTCCAGATAAGGAATCCAGCAAGTAGCTGGAAATTCATGTGTGAGGAGCAAGAGAGAATTTAGAAATCAAGAGCACAAAGGAAACAAAACTATGAGGAGATGGGATCCATTCAGCATTGGTTGAGCCCTTAACATGTACCAGGCAATACGCCAGAAACTGGAAATACAACAATGAGTAAGAAATGCCCATGTCCTCAAGGAGCTCACACCCTAACACATGGAAAATAACAACAACAATAATAACAATAACAGTACAATAGAAATAAACTGTTATGCACAGCACAGAGGCTATAACTACCCAGAACTCCTGACTCTGCCTGGGGTACATCCTCAGATAGGAAGTAATATTTTAAAGTACATTTTAAACCACTTTTCAAATTTAAGTAAATTTTTAAAAAATTAAACATTCTGCAACTCAAACAAAACAATTTTATTGCGAGTTTGCAACACCCAGGGTGAAGAGATATTTAGGAGGTCCAATTAGCAGGATCTATTAAATCATAAAATAAGAGAGAGGGACAAGAAGGTGATCAAAGAGGCCCTAAATAATATCCAGAGAAAATGGAACTCAGAGACAAAGATTTATCCATAATTGCCAAAAACTGAAAATGACCGGGCCGGCCCCGTGGCTTGGTGGTTAGGTGCGCTCGCTCCGCTGCTGGCGGCCCGGGTTCGGGTCCCAGGCGCGCATCGGCGCACCGCTTCTCTGGCCACGCTGGGGCTGTGTCCCACGTACAGCAACTGGAAGGATGTGCAACTATGACATACAACTATCTACTGGGGCTTTGGGGGAAAAAAATAAATAAATAAAAATCTTTAAAAAAACCACCTCTGCTTTAAAACGAGGAAACTGAGGCACAGGGAGGTTATAGGACTTTTCCTATGTCACATAGGTGGTGGAGAATGGAATTCAAATATTTAAAAAAAAAAAAAAAAAAAAGAAAATGACCAAGATGTCCTTCAATAGATGAATGGATAACATACATACAATGGAATATTATTCAGCAATAAAAAGAAACGACCTATCAAGCCACAGAAAGACATGGAGGAATCTTAAATGCATATTGCTAAATGAAATACACCAGTCTAAAAGGCAATATACAATATGGCTCCAACTACTATACGACATTTGGGAAAAGAAAAAACTATGACGACAATAAAAAGATCAGCAGTTGCCAGGATTTGGGGTGAGGAGAAGGAGGAGATGATGAATAGGTGGAGCACACACGATTTTTTAGGGCAGTGAAATTATTCTACATCATAATATAATGGTGAATACATGTTATTTTACATTTGGCAAAACCCATAGAATGTACAACACCAAGTGGAGCCTAATGTAAATTACAGTCTAAAGTGAATAATAACATATCAATATTGGTTCATCAATTGTAACAAATGAACTACACCAGTGTGAGATGTTAATAATAGGGGAAACTATTGTGGGGGTTAGATATGGGAACTCTGTGCTTTCTGTTCAATTTTTCTGTACACCTATAACTGCTCTAAGAACAGACTATTAATCAGAAAAACATAAAATGAAATGAAAAAAAATTTTTATTTTTTTTTTTTTTTGCTGAGAAAGGCCCTGAGCTAACATATGTGGCACTCTTCCTCTACTTTATATGTGGGTCGCTGCCACAGCATGGCTGACGAGTGGTGTAGGTCCACACCCAGGATCCAAACCCACGAACTCAGGCCACTGAAGTGGAATGCACAAGACTTAAAACCACTACGCCATGGGGCCAGCCCCTGAAAAAATTTTTTAAAAAAAAAGAGGACCAAAGGCTGACTTCAAGGAATGCCTGTATTTTAAATGGTAGCCAAGGGAAGAAGAGGCAGTTTCTAAAGAACACTTTGAAAATTCTCCAAACACAAAGAATTCTGGTTGTAGATACTCTACTTGCAAGGTGAGATAATAGCCTCAAATCTATTGGGCTCATTTTTCAATGTAAACATCATTAAGGAAATGAAACACCGCAAAAGATCACAACTGTCCCTCAAAGCCAGCCTTTTAAGCCTTGCTTTTAACATATATATATATATAATATATATTTATATATATATATTTATATATATTTATATATATATATTTATATATTTATATATATATATTTATATATATTTATATATATATATTTATATATATTTATACATACCATACTTGAATATCTTCACGCCTAAGTAAATGAAAGGAGAAAATATTGCTCCACACCTCTGTCCCCCGTGTGCTCCTTCACCCACTGGGTGGCTGCAGCGATGCTCTCTGTCTTGGTGACATCCAGGATCACCGTGTCCAGCCTGTCTGACGTCTGGTCCCTCAGCTTCTCAGCCCCCTTCTCCGTCAGACATGCGGCCAGCACCCTCAATCCTCGCAGGTCGAGCTGCCTGGCCAGCTGGTTCCCGAAGCCCGAGTCACAGCCTGTGATGAAGACGTACTTGTCTCGGAGGTTGCTCACCACCTGCCTCTCCCGGTACCAGCGGAGAAGGTAGTACAGGCCCACCAGGATTGCCAGGTACAGCCACATGGTGAGGGTAGCACCTTCCCCTTCAGAGAAAGAGAACAGCTTTCATTTTATTCCTTCCTTTTTTCTTTAATCAGTATCTACTGAGTATTTACTACATGCCAGGCATCGCCCTAGGTGCTGGAGACTCCGTATTAACTAACACTTCATCCTATCCTCAAGGAGCCACAGTCTAGAGAAGGGAGTCAGGGAGGTAAGCAAACAAATGCAATGCAGTATGGCAGGTGCCATAACAGAAGTAGACACACAGTCTAATGAGGCTACAAAGGAGGATGACCCACTGCCTGCAAAGTCAGAAAGGGCTTCACATAGGCAGTGATTTTGGAACCACTTCCTACAGGATAGGTAAGTGTTCAAAAAGTGGCCAAGGATGAAAGGACATTGCAGGAAGCAACAATGTGTACATGAATGGAGTGGTGAGCAGTATAAAACTTTCTGACTCCTCCAAGCAGTTCAGCATGGTGCAGTGCGGAGCATGCAGGGGAAGAGACGGGAGATGAGGCAGTGAAGGGCCAGACCACGCAGTGTCTTGTGGGCCACACTAAGGAATCTGGACGTTATCCTGTAGGCAACCAGAGTGTACTATTAGAAGGTATTAAATTGAAGAATAAGATGGCCAGATTTAGCTTTAGAAAGATCTGTCTCACAGTGGGAGTGGAGGATAGATTAAACAGGGATGTGATGAAGGCAGAGATCAGTTAGGAGACCCAAGAGTTTGGGTGAGATATTGTAGCCAAAGCGGTTTGTAAATAGAGACGAATCAGACGCATTGTTGAAATGAGTGTTCAGAGATGCCTACATTTCTATATGTAGTTCTGGAGGAACATCCACCATTTTTTGGCAATCTATAGGTGTTGCCTGAACTAACATATGATTCATAAAGACACAGGTAGAGGTCAAAGATGGGTGTGGGCCCACTAGGACACCATAAGGCCTACAGCCCAATGCCTGCATTAGCTTGCCATTAAGGCCTTCCTGGGCTCTGGCCCTTCACATCCCCCTTAGCCTTCTCTTTTACCACACTCTCTCTTGCACCCTACTCTTCAGACATAACAAGCACCTTTCAGTGCCCCACATAGTATAGGCTTTTCATGCCTCGGTACACAATTCTCTCTACAATTCCTTCTTTCCCAGCTCCCATTCATTTGGCAAATAATGCTCATCTGTGACCAATCCACTGAATCATCATTTTCATTCAACAAACATCAATTCATCATCTACTATGAGTCAGACAATGTTAGGCACTGAAATACAACAGTGAACAAAACAAGGTTCCATTATTCATTGAATTCATCGTCTAAGTGTCAAGACTAACAAGAAAACAATGCAATATAATACAAGTAAGGGCAGGATGCTGTTGGAACACTCAAGAGAGGCTTCTAAGCCAGTTTAGGAGATCTGAGAAGTTTCCTAGAGAGAGTAAAATCTAAGCTGAGATCTAAAAGATAATAAAATAATAATAACAGCTAACACTTGCATAGCACTTGCTGTGTATCAGGCCCTGTTCTAAGCATTTCATACATATTTACCTACTGAATTCTCACAACACAGCCGTATAAGGCAGGGCCTGTCATAACCATGTGTGTCAGTTCAGATGCCAAGACAGAATCAGACATGTAAGAGACTCATTGGGGGAAACTCCTATAGAAGATAAAGGGGGACAGTGCAGAAACAGGTGGTAATGCAGGTCTGACACCTCTGAAAGAAGAGGGAGAAGGAAGGAGGATTTGAGAGGAAGACCCTTAAACTGCAGTACAGCCCGAGAAAGTCTCAGCCAGGCCAATGCGGAGTCCTTGAGCAAAGACTGCCCAGTAGAGTTCCACATTGGCAGAACTGGTTGGAACTTTCAGTCCCACTCCCAGACCTCTGGGGAAGGGAGAGGGGCTGGAGATTGAGGTCCGTCACCAACGGCCAAGGATTTAAATCAATCACTTCTATGTAATGAAGCCTCCATAAGAACCCAAAAGGACAGGGTTCAGAGAGCTTCCGCGTTGGTGTACACATGGAGATTCGGGGAAAGGGGCACGCTCAGAGAGGGCATAGAAGCTCCGCACCCCTTCCTCATATCTTGCCCTATGCATCGCTTCCATCTGTTATATCCTTTTACAATAAACCAGTAATTTAGTAAGTAAAATGTTTCTCTGAGTTCTGTGAGCCACTTGAGCAAATTAATCAAACCCAAGGAAGGGGTCATTGGAACTTCCAATCTATAGACAGTCACTCAGAAGCACAGGTGATAAACTGGGTTAGCAACTGGCATCTGAAGTGAGAGGGGAATGAGGTAGTCTTGTAGGACTGAACCCTTAACCTGTTAATCTGATGCTCTCTCCCAGTAGGTAGTGTCAGACTTGAGTTGAACTGTAGGACATCCAGGTGGTGTCAAGGAGAACTGCTTGTTGGTGAGGAGGAACCCCACCACCATGTTGTAACTGGGTCCAGAACCGTTAAGGGTGTAGGGAAGTAAAACTGGATGAGCCAGTGAAGGGTAGAAAACAGTGGATAGAGACATTTAAAGCTCCTCTCTTTCTCTCCTTTTTCCCTTTCCCTCCACCTCCCCGTTCTCTCTCCCAACCCCCAAGCTTTCTGCCTCTCTCCAATCTGAGAGCCCTGTGTTCTCCAGCCAGCTGCCTCTGTGCCACCCAAAAGGCATCGTCTGATGCACTGTAGTAACAGACAGCACTTCATCCTGCCTGTTTATCAACTAAAAGGGTAATTTCCTGATGCCAAAGATGAAAATCCATTTCCCCCATTAAGGAGAAGCTTGGACCCCACAGCCTCTGTGGGTATTATTATTCACTCATCACATACCCAGCAGCAAGAAAACGACCCATGCAGAAGAGATATGCCAGGCCAGGCAGAAGCCCAAACATGGGCCAGACCTGAACATGAATCAAATACCTAAAGATGCCTTGACTATTTCAAATATCTAACCCAAAGTGGCCTGCTCGTTTTTACAATCATTCATCTGAAAAACCTATGCAATCACTTAGGTTTCTGCCTTTGACCCAGGAGATGTATATACTTATACTGCTATTTCTTTTTTTTTTCTTTTTTTGTGAGGAAGATCAGCCCTGAGCTAACATCCATGCCAATCTTCCTCTTTTTGCTGAGGAAGACTGGCCCTGGGCTAACATCTGTGCCCATCTTCCTCTACTTTATATGGGATGCCGCCACAGCATGGCCTGACAAGCGGTGCATCAGTGCGCACCCAGGATCCAAACCTGGGCCGCCAGCAGCGGAGCACGTGCACTTAACCGCTACACCACGTGGCTGGCTCCTATACTGCTATTTCCTGATTTACCAATTCTAGAAATTCTCAACTGACTGCCTGTTATGGTAAATGAGAATTTAGCTTTCCTACACTACATTGTCAGTCTCTTTCCTTCTCATCCACATAGTGCTGCCTGGTTAATCTTTAAGGAGTTTTTGAAGTTGAACCTAGAAAACACCTTCATCATCGCAACGTGTAAGATCTTCTAGTATTTACTTCAGGCCTGACCCCCATCCTGGTCTTCATCATTGCTTGGAGCTGCTCTCCCGCAAAGATCTTGAAAGCTGAAACTGCCCTCCCTGACCACAGCCCCCTCGTATCTTTAGGGACCTTCCCCCACTTCCTCATCTCTCCCTGACTCTCTAGTATTTCCTCAGGCTCTCTCTATTATTGCAGTCCTCTCATGGCTTCATTTACCTCCTTATCAGCCTGGGTCCCACCGCTGGCCATTTTAAGGGTGCTTTGCTGGCACCCCAAAGCCTTTACCATCCACAGTCTCTAACTGCCAGCTGCTAAGTAGCACTCGAGAAAGGCCAGAAAACAAACCAGTTATTTCTACAACAAATCAATGATACTCCGTCTCAGCTGGACTTTCACCGATGCAAAGCGCACCTTCTGTTTGCCCCTATTTGACCCCTCCCTTATGTTTTCCCAGCCACATCTGTTCCAAATCTTTTCCAACCATCTCAATTCCCCAACCTCATGTTCATCTGGCTCTTCTTCCATAGCTTAGCTCATGTCTTGCCTCCCTGCCAAAACCCAGATCAGCTCAACCTCCATTCTCCTCACTTCCAAACCAATGGCCTGGACGCTAATTCATACCCAACATTTGCCTCTCATTTCAGGGGGTCCCAGGTCCACTAAAGGTAGTGCTCCACATGTCTCTATAATGTCCTCTGTGCTGCTTCATTTGCCTTTCCTCCCCGCTAAGACTATGCTATCCTGCCACCCGTTAAATGATCATCCTCTCTCTTACCCCATCTGGCCAAAATATTCAAAAAGCATATGCACAGGGCCTCTATCATCTCACCATCCATGCATTCCCAAACCAGGTACTCCTCCTTCCACTCTCATCACTCTCTGGAAACTCTCTCAGAGCTCACCAACGACCTAGCAGCCAATTCCCAAGGCTTTTTATCTCTCCTCAGTCTCAGACCTCTTGGCAATATTGAGCACTTTCTTTTTTCTAGCAATTTTATCTGATTCTCAGATGCCAACCTCTGAAGTGGAGGAGGAGATCGCTTTCAGATCATGCCATGCCCTTGTTGGAACCTGTCCATGGCTTCCTGTTATCCAAAGGATAAAGCCAAACTCCTCAGCTTCACACATGATAATAATAGCGAACAGTAACACAGAACTTACCTTGTACCAGGCAACGTTCAAAGCAATACACACACACACACTCTCTCTCTCACACAACGACCTCATGAGTTACATGCAATTGTTATGCCCATTTTTCAAATAAGGAAACTGTGGCACAGATTAAGGCAAAAATTAGGTGAGTTGTCCAAGGTCAAACATCACTGATTTCAAACTATACTATAAAGCTATAGGAATCAAAGTGATATGGTACTGGCATAAAAACACCCATGCTTCCCTAGCTTTCTTTTTGAACAATTCCTAGGAGAGTTCTGAAGGATACTTCAAAGCATCTCAAACGATTGAACCTTAGCTGCTTATGGCAGTCATCTATACTTTAATGCACACTTTATTAGCTTTCTCCCTTCTCAATCTCACATTCCATATTCCCTCTTTTTTGCTTCCTGGAATCACCTATCAAATAAACATCACACATAGACCAATGGAACAGAATCGAGAGCCCAGAAATAAACCCACACATATACTAACATTTGATAAAGGAGCCAAGAATACCCAGTGGGGAAAGGATAGTCTCTTAAATAAATAGTGTTGGATTATTCACATGCAAAAGAAGGAAATTGGATCCTATTTTCACCACTCACAAAAACTAACTCAAAATAGATTAAAGATTTAAATGTAAGACCTGAAACTGTAAAACTCCTATAAGAAAACATAGGCAAAAATTCCTTGACATTGGTCTTGGCAACAATTTTTTGGGTGCAACACCAAAAGCACAAGCAGCAAAAGCAAAAATAAATGGGACTACAGCAAACTAAAAAGCTTCTGCCCAGCAAAAGAAACAATCAACAAAATGAAAAGACAGCCTACAGAATGGGAGAAAATATCTACAAACTATATATTTGATAAGGAGTTAATATCCAAAATCTATAAGGAACTCATACAACCCAATAGCTAAAAAACAAACAATCCGGGGCCAGCCCAGTGGCACATCAGTTAAATTCACACCTTCTGCTTTGGCAGCCCGGGGTTCACTGGTTCGGATCCTGGGCACAGACCTACTCACTGCTCATCAAGCCATGCTGAGGCGGTGTCCCATATAGAAGAGCAACAACTCTACAACTATAATACACAACTATATACTAGGGCTTTGGGGAGAAAAAAAAAGAGGAAGATTGGCAACAGATGTTAGCTCAGGGCCAATCTTCCTCAAAAAAAAAATCCAATTAAAAAATGGGCAGAGGATTTGAAGACACATTTTTCCAAAGACGACATATAAATGGCCAAAAGACACATGAAAAGATGCTCAACATCACCAATCATCAGGGAAATGAAGATCAAAAACACAATGAGATATCATCTCACACCTGTTAGAATGGCTGTTATCAAAAAAAAAACAAGGGGGGAAAAAATGCACCTGCATCATCAATCCCCACGCCGAACAACGAGAAGGAGGTTGGGAGAAGGAAAGGGAAAGCCTGGGAGAAGCCTCAGGGAGTTGGGTGATACTGAGGGCTGGGCTCTGCTTAGCAGGTGTCTTCACTGAGCCACCTCCTTGCGCTGAAGATGGTTGCATCCAAACACGACTCTGTAGGTGTTTCCCGAGCCTTTTCTTTACCAACAGTGCAGTCATTGGCCCAATACAGGAGACTTGGTCCTGGGACTATCTACATGAACTATAGAAATCATCTGGCCATCCCTCAGCTTGAGATTTCCCTCCTGTTCTCGCCATTAAGTAAAGTGAGCTCTTCTCCAAGGGAAGGTTATTTATTTTTGTGGATGAGGCAATGTAAGTATCAGGAAAAAGGGAGAGGCTAGAGGAAGAGGAAAGAAAGGTATAAAAAGGTGTAGGGAAGTGGGAGGTGTCCAGCGGCTTGTAGGGGAGCAGAATTCGCTACCCCAAAATGCGTCTCTTTGGCTTGATTATTTTTAAGTACAAAGTGCAGGAAGAACCTTTGACCTTCCCCCTAACTGCCTAAAAGAATTTAAGATAGAAGGCCTGTCCAGGAAGGATCTATCACCAAAGATAACTAGAGTATAATATGGACTAGGTGTGGTAGACAGGGAGAAACCTAGCAAGGCGCGTTTGATCAAAATCCTCTCTGTCTGCCACTGTCTTTGCAAGGCATGGCCAACATTGATTTACAAAACATTTGCCTTTCTATCTTCATGTGAATTGCCTTCCTTCTCTTTGAGGCTCAAACCACTGCCCCCAACATCCTCTTTTGTCTTTAGCTGAAGATGGTATTTAAGGTGGTGACTTTGGTCATTTTGGTGAGTTACTCAGTTTTCCTAGGTTTCTCTCATGTATACATGTTATTAAACTTTGATTTTCTCCTGTTCTTCTGTCTCATGTCAATTTTATTCTTGGACTAGCCAAAAGAACCTAGAAGGGTAGAGGAAAAACTTCTTCCTCCCCTACAGGCTCCAGGAGGAAGTAGAGATGGCTTAATCTCTGCCTAAGCACCCATAGGGTGTCCCTCCTCTGCTCCTCCCTCTGCATTATCAGCCTCCAGATCCTATCCTCACCAGCCCAGGTCTTATCAGGGACAGGGCCCCAAGGAGGAAACAGAAGGGTTTAGGGGCTCATGAATTGACCTCTCTGGATGCCTTGGAACCTGCGGCGAACACAGGGTCCTAGCCACTGGTGTGGATATTAGAAATGTAAATATCAACTGCTACCCTTGATTGGTTTCTCTACAACCTGGAAACCCAGTAGAAACAAGCCATGATACTATATCATCTGTCCCACAGGAGAGCAACCATAAAAACCTAACACAGGTGTGAAAAGGAAAGGGAAAACCAAGAGAAAGTCCTAGGGAGATTGGCAATCCTCAACATTAGGCTCTCTGCTAAACTGGGCTTCCTTACCAGCCATTGTGCTTGGTGTGTGCCCAAGACTCTCACATCCAAACCTGGATATGTTTCAGGCTTCCATGATTTTCCTCTTCAGCAACAGTGCAGAATGTATTCCACTTGTCAGAACACTTTTCTAGGAGCCTGTTATGATACCAGTGAGACTACCTGGCTAATTCCCTGCCTACTTTTCCCGTTCTTCCTTTCCAAGGACCCCTCAGTATGAGTTCCCCTGCCCCCAACCCTGAGTTTGTAGACAGCACAGTCATAAGCATGGATTCTGAGGCCAGACTACCTGGGTTCAAATTCAGGCTTTACCATTAACTTGTTGTGTGGCATTGGGTAAGCAAAGTAACCTCTCTGTACCTGTGTGCCCATCTTCAAAATGGGAAAAGGACACCTCAGTATGTAATACTAATAATTAGGTATTATTAGTATTATTTTGGTTATTGTTCTTTTATTATTGCCATTCTAGGCCTTTCTCCCTGAGCCCTGCCTCTTCCTCCAGGCTTTAACAGAAGGAAATTTCACCACGGGAACTCGCACTATCTGGTGCATTCAGCCACCACTTTTTCACAATATGTGTAACTCCATGCACTGCAACATCCTTAACCATTTCTATCAGCTCTTTATCACTACTCTGGGTCATGCTAGTTCACCCTGACTTTCTTCAGTCTCAAGCAGAGGACCTCTTTCTCTGCAATACAGTGCACGGCAAAGTAAGGAGTAGTCTTTATTTCCTTCTTTTAAATCTTCAGACCTGCGTGTGTCTATAACCTCCAATCAGTCTAGCCACTGATGCTGAGAGTGAGTCTACAAACAGCACATGGATCGAAGGGCTGATCCACCATGACATTCTTTGTTCTCACATTGGGCATACAGACTAGGTGTTACTCAAGCCAATAATTATTTATCACAATTAGATTCCACTACACACTCACCATGTTTTAACTGAAAAAGGCTGACAGTATCAAGTGTTGGCAAGGATATGGAATAATCAAGCATTGCTATTGAAAGAGTAAATTGATTCAATCAATTTGAAAAATAGTTTGTCCTTATCTGCCAAAAATATTCACCTTCCCTATACTCATCGATTCCACCTTTAGGTATATAGCAACGACAGCAAAATATGTGCACCATAAGATGTGTTCGTAGTAGCATTATGTCATAGCCAAAAGCTGGAAACAACCCAAACATGCACCAACAGTAGAATGGATAAATAAGTCGAGATATGTTCATACAATAGAATGCTACATAGCGATAAAAATGAACAACCAGCTACACACAATTACTACACAAATGAAATCTCACAAACATAATATTGTGACACAAAAAAACATACTATATGATTCCATCTACACAAAGTTCTAAATAGGCAAAATTAATCTATGTTGCTACAAATCAGATTTGTGGTTACCTTTGGGGAGGAGAAGGGTCAACAATTAAGGGAGGTATTAGGGGGTTGTCTGTGGTGCTGGTAATGTTCTATTTCTTGACCTGTGCAGCTGTAACAGAAGTGCTAATTTTGTAAAAATTCATTGAACTGTCCACTTATGATCTATGTGTTTTCGACTCAAATTAGAAAAATAGGGGCTGGCCCTGTGGCTTAGCGGTTAAGTGCGCGCGCTCCGCTGCTGGCGGCCTGGGGTCGGATCCCGGGGGCGCACTGACGCACTGCTTCTCCAGCCATGCTGAGGCCATGTCCCACATACAGCAACTAGAAGGATGTGCAGCTATGACATACAACTATCTACTGGGGCTTTGGGGGGAAAAAATAAATAAATAAAATTATTTAAAAAAAAGAAAAAGAAAAATACCTCTTTGACCAAAAGAAACAGTCTGAGGAAAACCATTTCTGCATTTGCTATAAAATTCTTATCCAGAACACTGTGCAAGACCCCACATGATAAATCCTATCATGCATTTAGTACCAGGAAAGATTTTGTCTTTCCTAAGTAAATAGTATACTATTGATTATTTTTCAATTATCTAGTTCTTGATATTATCAAATTTAATGCTCATATTAATTCTATTAGCCCTTGTAGACAGCATTTTTTCTTCTCTCTTCTCTTTCATCATTTTTATTTTCTATTTCTTTCTGTACTTCTATTTGCATTTTAATAACCTTATTGTATATGTGTCTCTTACTTTAGGTTACCTCAAACTCTTTTTGAAGATGCTACATTTGTCCAAGAATAAAACTTAGATTCTCCAATCTCAGCCTCATTCCAAAAACTGCTCAATCCCTCTTCCAAGTGGGAAAAAATTAACAAATACTCCAGCAGCTGACGCCTTGTACTGGCATTTATACACACATAGATATACAGAGATATATATGTATATATATCACACTTCATTTCAAATCAGTATATAAGATTCCACAAAGAATAATGAAAAATGTTACCTGAGGAATTCTTGTTTGGGAATATACGTCAAATTTCAAACACTTCTTATTTAACTGCCTTTGGAATTGTGCCTCCTCTATGTTCTCCACAGGATTAAAAATGTAACAAGCAGGAAGGAAAAATGGGACTATTAAACCCTTGTTTACTGGCCACGTGGGTCAAAAAAAAAAAAAAAAACTCACCACTCACACTGCAAAGAGCTTGCTCCAGTAGGAGACGGGGGTGGGGTTAAAGGCAGGACCCAAACTAGACTATAGAGCTTCAGCAACACACTTCTCATGGCCTAATTAAAGAAAGCCCCTGTGCTTACCCAAAGTTTCACAAACTTACCCCACAGCGACCAGCATCAACCCTGAAAGAGCTGATTTTCCCCACTGTCAGGAATCCCAATTTACAGAGCTTACCCGGGGGGCCTATCTGTAAGTATAAAATCCCTCCCAGCTTCTAAACAATACTTTCCCAAAGCCCAAAGGAGTGATGATCAAAAAAGCAGAGAAAACAAAGGAGATGAAATTTCTTTCAGGAATCAAAGTTTTTTTTAAGAAAATAAAAAACCATAATCAAGACCTCTCTCCAAACAGAGCTTATCCTCTCCCAGCACGCACGCACGCACGCACGCACTCACACACACACCATTTGCTCAGGAACAGTCCAGTCCTGGACACTTGAGAGTACTTCAAGTATCCCCACTGGGCAGCATCCCTTCCTTTCCTCCATGCTGCCCACCCCCTCGCCCCCGACCTTCTGCTCTGCTTTCCCAACACCTCCCTCTTGTGGTAAGAGTCCGGGCTGCTCCACTCCCTCGTGCCAGGTCTCACCAATGTCATCCTTGCTCAGCTAGAAAATCAGATCTGTTATAGCCAAAATAAAAGCAGAAAGAAAGAAAAGAGCTGCCCTGGCCAGCCAGAGAGTTTCCCACGCCCTTCAGCCCCCATTCTCTGATTTAACTAGGAATACTAGGAATGCAAAGCCCCTGCTGTAGTTGGGGAGGGGGGAGGGCAGGCTAATTTTAGCCGAGCCCACTCTTGTACTGCCAACCTGAGATCAGCTGCTGCAAACCGGGCCTCTCAGCCTTAATGCTGTCAGACACCTCTCCAAAAGAGCGGCAGCTGCTTCACGTCTTGGGCACTGCAGCTAGGGTCATATATATATAATTTATATTATATACAAATATATATAAATATATATTTTTAATAGCTTTATTGAGACATAATGCACATACCATCAATTCACCCTTTCAAAGTATACAATTCAGTGGGTTTTAGTATATTCCCAGAGTATCTAGTTTCAGAACACTTTCATCACCCCAAAAAGAAACCCTGTGCTCCTTAGCAGTCACTTACCGTTCTTCCCTCCCCCTAGCCCCTGGCAACCACTAATCTACTTTCCATGTCCATGGATTTGCCTATTCTGGACATTTCATGTAAATGGAATTACACAATACGTGGCCTTTTGTGACTGGCTTCTTTCGTCTAGCATAACATTTTCAAGGTTCATCCATATTATAGCATGTATCAGTATGCAATATTATGATTTATAAGAAATATATATCTGGTCATTCAGATGACCGAAATAGATCTTGCATATACATTTGGTCTTCATTCACAGCTCTCAAAACCCTTGGAATTTCCTGAGCAATAAGAGCAGTGGGAGCATCTTTTGTTATAATATTTGGCCTTTTGTCCTCAGTTCCCTGAAATCACTTCAGAGCCATAAAGGTGAAATAGGCATCTTGTTATTCATAACAAGCCCCTTTCTACCACAACTGAATTTATGTAAATGAGGTGACATTTGGAAAGCACTTAAGGGTGAGGGCTGGTTGCCAGGAAAACTAATTATGAATAGAGGGTTGGAATTTTCAGTCCCACCCCAGACCTCTGGGGAGTAGAGAAGGGCTGGATATTGAGTTCAATCACCAGTGGTCAAAGATTTAATCAATCATGCCTATGTAATGAAGCCTCCATAAAAACCAAAAGGAGAAGATTCAGAGAGCTTCCGGGTCGGTGAACACATGGAGATTCGGGAAGAATCTGCAGGGGGCATGGAACCTCTGGCCCCTTCCCACATACCTTGCCCCATGTATCTCTTCATCAACTATTGACTCATATCCTTTAATATCCTTGGTAATAAGTAAGTAATCTAGTGAGTAAATGAGTTTCCTGAGTTCTGTGAGCCGTTCTAGCAAATTAATCAAACCCAAGGAGGGGTCGTGAGAATCTTCGATTTATAGCCAGTTGGTCAGAAGCACAGGTAACAACCTGAGCTTGCGACTGGCATCTGAAGTGGGGGGGGAGTCTTGTGGGACTGAACACTTAACCTGTGGAATCTGATGCTATCTCCAGGTAGATAGTATCAGAATTGAGTTGAATTGTAGGACATCCAGCTGGTGTCTGAAGAACTGGTTTGGATGTGTGCGGGAAACACTGGAATTGGTATCAGAATCCTTCAGCACCCTTTCACAACTCTCTCTCTTGGCTCCTATGAATATAAAATCACTCTCTCCTAGCTCTCCTTCTGCTTCTATTCCTAGTCTTCTCATTGTCCTTTGCCGGCTTCTCTTCCTCTACCCAATTTTTAAAGTCATTATGCTTAAGAGTTCTATCCTGGTCCTTCTCTTCTCACTGTACACACCTTTCTTGTTTGGCGACTTCAGTAATCACCAGCTTCAACCCTGATCCAAGTGCTAACGACTTGCAAACCTCGGCCTTCAGGTCCAAATCTCTCCTGAGATCTAGCTTCTCGTATCCAACTGCCTGCTGGACATCTTCCACCTGAGTTCAACCATTCATTCCATAAACATAGAGTCCCTACTATGTGCCAGGTCCTATACTAGTCACTGGAGATAGGAGAGGTGAGTACAGTAAAGCAGACATGATATTTGAAATCTCAGAACTTACAGTCTTAGTAGGGAAAATAGATATTACATACATATTCTCAGAAATAAATATATAATCACACACTGTGATGAGGGCTATGAAAGAAAAGCATAGGGTACTTAGGGGGTATCACAGCAGTAATTCAAACTCAACTTTTCAAAACTGAAATAAGGATGATTCACTGCAATCTAATCCTCCTCCTTATTTTCATGCTATTTCCCATCCTTACATGTATTCAACAAATCCTCAACAAATTTAATGAGTGTCTGTAACAGTGAGCCAGCCAGGAGCAGTTCAACTGACCCCATCTCTTATCAACAGAGAGATTAAGAACTGCCTTTCAGAAAATCTGCAGTCACAAAGCCAGGGCATGCGCAAAAGAAGAAATCACAACCTGAAACAACCTCGGAACCCAAGATCCTTCCAGTGGAACTCAAGGACCAGGACACGACCAGAACTTGAAAGTCAGACTCTTATCAGAAGCGAGGGGTCCCTCATTCAGGAAGATCTGGTGTTAAAATTCCTTCCCTGCCCCATCAAAAATGTTTAGAACCCCATCATAAATGTTACAAATGTCATAAACATTTAAAATCTTACCATAAATGCTTGAAGCCCACCAATCAAAACCTGTTCCACCAGCGTTTCCACGTGCCAGCCTGTTCTCCCTAACCTCTTAAATTTTGCCCCAACTCTTGAATCAGGGAGACAGATCTGAAGGCACATGCCCTCTGTCTCCCTGAGATCAATCTTACAGAATAAAAGCTGATTTCTCCCCCAAAGGCTAATGCCATAATTAACTGGCTTGTTTATGTGCATTGGGCAGAGAACTCCAATTTTGTGCGGTAATACGTCCACTAGGTGCCCGATAAGCCCCTTCCATCCAGTTGCCCAAGCCTGATACCTGGGACATCATCCTAGACCACTTCCTCATCCCTCATATCCAATCAATATTAACTCTACCTCCTTAAGTCAGTGATGGCCACCCAAACCCCTCCATCTCCACTTGACGGCCTTAGTTCAGGCTACCAGTATTTGTCACCTGGATTTCAGCAAGTTTCCTGGGATTGCTCTGCCTCTGGTTGCTCTCTCCCCTCCTATTTGTCCTCCACAGGGCTCCAAAGTTTATTTCTAAAACACAACTTTATGTTTCTCCCTGCTTAAAAGCTTTCCAAGGCTCGCCGTTGTCTTCAGACAAATCCAAATTCCTGTGGAGGAACAAGGTTTGATGTTGTGATTTGACTTGATCTGCCATCTTTTATTTCAAGCAGTCTACAAGGAGAAAGCTAGATCCAAAGAGTATGTAGTTTTATGACCAACAAGAGAACGTATACAATGTGTATATTGGTAGGTTACTTATCAAAAATCTGGTGGGTTAACTTACAGCTTAAGTGAAAAAATTCAATTTCACATATTAAATCCATTATATAAATTAAAGAACAAACACAATGTCCTATAACACGTTTTATCTGCTTTGTGGTTATCATTTGCTTTGTAGTTAAAAAAACATTCCTGTGAGATTAAATTAAAACTTTGGCATTAAACAAATATGAGGGTGCTCTTTATTACTTTACAGTAGTTTATGATAACAGGAGACAGAATTACACATTTTTTTTTTTTTTAAAGATTTTATTTATTCATTTTTTCCCCCCAAAGCCCCAGTAGATAGTTGTATGTCGTAGGTTCACATCCTTCTAGTTGCTGTACGCGGGACTCGGCCCCGGGTTGGACGGAGATGTGGTGCCTCGGGGCGCGCCCGGGATCCGAACCCGGGCCGCCAGCATCAGAGCGCGCGCACTTAACCGCTAAGCCACGGAGCCGGCCCGAATTACACAATTTAAATTAAACTTAAATATGACCTTGGCCCCACCTAGATAGTCTCCCTCTATTTATTGCTCTTGTGTCAACAAAAAAATATATATTTTCTAATATTCTCTTTCTTATCTTATTGAGGAGGAAAATAACTAGCACAGGAGTACTTCAAATTTGCAACTTACTTGTTTCAATAAGATTATTTACTCCCAAGGCTTCTCATCAAATACTGATATGATCAGTATTTTAACCAAAGCTGAATAAAAATGGAAGATAAATAATTTTTATGTGCATACTCTTTAGCTTGGCATGCAATGCTCTGGCCATGGCTTGCCTCTTAGCCCCATCTCTCACTATGCCTTCCCTTTGTTACCGCCCATGGGGGAATTGTCCGCCCGCTGCAAGACATGCCAATAGTCAAGAGGCAAGGAGGCAGGAGAGAAAGGACTTTTTATTACCACTTGCTAGCAAAGGGGAAGATGGCCAACTAATCTCCAAAAGAACCATCTTAAGGGGGCACAAAATCTTACAGCAGTTATATAGGCCAGTGGGTTATAGGGGAGGGGCTTAGGAATGTTGACCCTCTGGTGTTACAGACTGGGAGTCGCCACACCAGATCTTTCAGTTTTCATTGATGATGGCTATCAGCACAGACTCTGCCCAGAGGGTCATCACATTCCTAAGGAACAAAAAAGAACAAAGTTATCAACTTATAGCACCGGTAGGGGCCGTAAAATCTACAGAGCATGTCTGGGTTAGTTAAGCAGAGGTCATTCAAAGTTACAATAGGGTTTCTTTTCTACAACGGCTTCCCTCATGTCAACCGTCTGCTGAGCCGGTATCACCTTGAAGTCTGACCTCTGTCCATAGGGAACTATTGGCAGTTTCCTGCAAGTGCCGTGCTGTTCACACTTTGTGCTTGTCTCCCTGTACCAATCTTATCATTAATTTTTATGCCTGTCATTAATTTTTTCTCCCCAGAGCCTAGCTAAATGCCCAACACAAATGTTCACTAGCTATTTGTGGAATAAATGAATGAGTTAAAGAATTACCGAATGAACCACATCTTCACCAAATATATCATCCTTTTACATGCTAAAAACACCCAGAATAACAGTAGGAAGGGAAGGGAAGTCCACGAGGTAGGTGTCCAAGCCTGCAAAGATCTTGGGGAGAGAGACCTAAGCTGACTGATAAGATTATCCAAAGAGAATGACAGTAGACATAAATACTAAATGTAAAGAGGCTGGTAGATAGTGTAAGACTTGAAGGACACAGGGGTTTTGCACCTCTGTGGATGAAATCACGAGGGAAAACCAACTGAAAGGCAATACTGCCTCCCAATGGCACCCGGGATAAAAGCCGCTAACTAGAGCACTTTTACAGAATTATAGCTTCCCCAGAATGAGTGTTCCTGGGCTATGAACTGTGCCAGGCACCTCTTACTCTATCTCATTTAACCCTCACAACAACCCATTGTAGAGACATAGCATGTAGCATAGGGGTTAAATGCACAGACTCGAGCCAGGCTGTCTGGCTCTCCCATGTACTAGCTGTGTGACCTTGGACCAATTACTTAAATTCCCTGCACATTTCCTCACCTGTAAAATAGGGATAATATTAGTACCTACCACAAAGAGCTCTTGATGAGGAATAAATTCTTAAAATGGTACTTGACAGCATAGCTAATGCTATACAAATATTAGCTATTATTATTCCCTTTTTCCTGATAAGAAACTAACGTTAAATAAATCGAGCATACATTAGGAACTCAATAAATACAATTTCCTTTGCTTTCTTTCCTTATGTCTTAGCTCTGTAAGGTGTTGCCCTCCTTAGTGGTCCTGAAATTTAAATAGGGGACTCCTGAATAGCCCAAAAAAGTCGGTTCTTAAAGACAGCAATGAGGAAGCTGAGAAACCTCCATTAAAAAGTTCAGTGGGATGTGGTTCCAGAAAACAGCACTCTACAGGGAACTCTTGTTACCATTATTAGAGTGAAGACCTTCCTAGCAATGAAATTCACCCTGCCCAAAACCGGATGCATAGGGATTGGGAAAATCAACTAAGATTTGTGCAGGAAGCCAGATCTAGGAATATTCAAATAAATATGATCTGTCCAAAGCCCATTTTTGACCACTTTGCCCATAGGCTGAGGGACCATGATCATTTTCAAGATTAGGCTAATAATAACTTACTAGAGACTCTATTCCCTCCTTGCTCTCTTACTATTATTGTAAAAATAAAACTCATGAAAATGATCATTTTCAAGTGGCACATATGATACAGATGTGATTATCAGAGTGCCCACCCCAGTCCCCATTTGCAATGAGATGATCGGCAGACCTGCATATCAATAGGAAACACACTCCTTTCATACTTGCAAAGCTCGCCATGATTCTACAAGCTTCCTCCAATTCAGATTTTAGTATTCCTGGGTGTTCTATTTGAGAGACTGAATATACAAACAATGGTCAGACCATATATGAAAACAGAACTCTGACCCACAATCTGCAGAAGCCCACCCAGGAAACTGTGACCGAACACAAACAGGTTTGTTCACCTGCTGCACAAGAGGGCCAACAACTGGAACACCAGGCTTGTGTCAAGGAAAGAAGTTTACTATGGAAAGGCAGCCAGACAAGGAGATGGGAGTTAGAACTCAGATCCACCTCCTCGAAGGGAAAAAGGTAGAGGTTTTTATCACAGTTTTAGGGGGAGGAGGAGCATGTGCTGGGGTTTTGGGGCGGGGTGGAGGAGCTTGTGG